GTTTCTAACTCTCTCTCTGTAAATATAATATATATGCATGTATATATGTATATAGAGCTGTATATATAAAGAAGCATACATATATGTATATATATTATATAATTGTTCTATTTGGTGCTATTTCAATGTTTGGATCCTCAGCTAGCTCACAAAGCAGGACCTAGTAGCAATTACAGAATGTTGGCCCCATCATGTGACTAAGCAGGACTTGGACACCTGTCTCAACATGCAGCCAGATACCTTGTACCTGTTTTCATCTACTACAACAAGTAGACATCTCACTATCAACCTTCCTCTACCTTCACTTGCTCAATTGGTTCTATTGCTGTTCATTCCATCTGTTGTAAAGGCTGACCTTTCCTGAGAAGCTGAGATGGGAGGCAAGTCTTGCTCAGCCCATGATGAGAAAGTCTTGGGAGGTACTGACATAGGGCCATATTGACTTTCTCAGGCCTTCTGGGCATGTGTCTGAAGGAAGTCTCCTGTTTTTACACAAGTTTTCTACTGCAAATGGTAGCCAACAAAACAAGCTCAGTAATACCTAAGTCTGCAAGTTTCTCTCTGTTACTCTCACAATGTTATCCAGTGCATCCTTTCTTCCTGTATTGCCACCCTCCTGGCTTTGAGCTCTCACTGGAGCCCACAACCTCACTTCCAGCTCTTCGTTGTTTCATTGGAGATAAAGAGTCTCACAGACTTTTCTGCCCAGTCTGGCTTCTAAATTAGATTTTCCAATCTCTCGTTTCTGAGTAGTGAGGATTAAAGCTGAGAGCCATGGGGCCTAGCATTTGCAATGCTCTTTCTCTTCATTTATTAAGGATGTTCTACCTGCAGTTGCTCTTCCAAACCCCTTCCTTCCGCTTCCCTGTAAATTTGAAAAGATTATGTGAAAAAAGTTCATGGATGACAGAAAAGTTCTTCCAGGAGAGGAATTAGCTTCAAATAGTGGAGGAAATCTTCCCTCGGACATAGGAATATTCAGTAGTTCAGAAATACTAAACACCACATGGAGGCACATGCTGTAATCCCTACACTGAGAGACAGAGGAAGTGAGATCTACACTTTGAGGCCAGACTTTGCTACCCAAAGAGATAATATACTACTAACAACAAAAATCCCAGTAACTGTGGGCTAGGCCTATAATCCTTGCTATTCAGCAGATAGAGCTCTGATATCTTGTCATTCGAAGCAAGCAGCTCAACATACCTGACACAAGGTAGACACAAGACAGAAATCATGTGATTATCTCTCAGAAATGTCTGTTTCAGTTTTGTTTTGTTTTGAGAAACAGAAATGTATTGGGAACCATCTCCATTTCCACTGTCAAGAAATCTTCCGGGAGTGAAGAGGCTTCTCACCTCCAGTCAGGCTCAGACACCCTCTGTGAGGGACACTAGGGAGGCCTGGGAAACAGTGGAGTTTCTTTATAGATAGAGGACTTGCTAAGCAATGGACAGTCTCAGGGCAGACCATGTGCAAAACATAGCCATGAACTTCCTGCTTGGCTTTGATGAGAGCCCACAGTTGGCCCATCCCCCACAGCCATGACCTGAGCATTCTCTCCAGTTTAACTGCAGCCACACAGGAGAAAAGCAATGTCACTGAGTCATCTGCAGGACATTAGCTGTAAGTATGAGAGTAGGTTGACACCTTCCTTCTGGAAATCTGTCCCTGGGAACAACCCTACCTTTCCCTTCCCCATGCAAGTCCAGTCCCTGGGGAAAACACAATTTGATTGAATTGGGAGGGACATGAAGTAGAGCACAGTTACAATGCAGCAGCTCAGCTCATGAGCCTCCTCCTTGCTTTCCAGGTGTCTGTGCTGTCCTCCTCCTCAAGACATCATTCTCCCAGTGGTAGGCCTCAAAGCCTGAGCCTGTTGGTAATGTGCCTCTGAACCTACTTCTAGCACCTTCTCTGGTCCTGCCTATAGTAATGTCAGGACATAGCCTGGGGGAGAGAGTCCCCGGATAATCTGGATTGAACTGCCCCAGCTGGAAGTGTCTCAATCTTGGGAGACACAAGCCTTGCCAGCTCAGGATCCCTAGCATGTGTATCATTTGGTGTCTCCTCAGCTGCTGTCACAGCTAGAGGTGACTCTGTCATCTCCATTGTCAGCATGAGATCCTCAGCAGCTGAACCA